TTTTTTTGAAAGTTAGAATTGATATGAATTATCATGGTATAATAAAATAATGTGAATGATAGAAAGATCAACCTAGGGATGGCAATGGGTTCTCGTGGGGTGGGGACCCCATCCCCATCCCCATCCTTATCACCACTATTGGCAGATATAAGGATTCCTGCAAGGATTTTTGATAAAAGGTAAAAAATGCCCTCGATTTCCATGGAGTCCCCCGAGGTATAGGGAATCCCATGAAAGTATACAAAAATATTTTGATTCATTCAATTCTTAGCTTTAAAAAGAAAAAAAATCCAAAAGCATTATAGAAAAACTAGTTATTTCTAAGTTTTTTTTTTTCCCTAGAAAATGAATCAAATTAAATAAAATAAAGTAAGTTTTGCCTAACAAAAAATAAATAAATAAAGTAAGCTAAATGCAAATTAAGAGAAATCTATTAAACAAAGAAGTGAAGTTGGGAGGAACTAAGGCAGTAGAGAGAAGAGATGCGAGAGTCAAAGTGTTTATAATTAAGATTTATAAGTTTGAGAATTAAAATATTTGAATTTATTATAATTTATAAAAATATAAATTTACAATTTCTTTTATTAATTTACGGTTATTTGCAGGGATCTATGGATAGGGAAAATTTCCCACAGAATTTTGCAGAAAATAATCACCTCCATCCTTGCCTTATGAAGAGGAATATTTTGAGATCCCATTCCAACGATTAGGGTCCTCGCGTAGCTCCATGAATTATAGAGAAAATTGTTATCCCTAGTTCAACCTTTATGAATCTCTAAGAAAATCAAACATTGGCAACTAATGAGGAGACTATTTAAGAAAATTCGCTTCTTGTTGTGTCATGCTTAATTTTTAGATCTACGTGAGAAATATGACCAATAAACACCACATATCATATAAACCAATCAATTGCAATGAAATCTCAATTAAAAACTCAATGAGAATAAAGATTTTAATTTTAAATTAAAGAAACTTAAAAAACTTGAAAATAGAATGACAAAAATTTTAAGGTGATAGAGCATACCTAGGAAAATTTTAAGAAGCCTGTCGTCTAAGAAAAGAGAAGAAAGATGGGCTAGGGTTTTTTTTTTTTTT